TTACTGTTTACAAAGTCAGCTGTATGTGTGTACAAATTTCTGTTGGTTATAGAATTGAGACATCCAGATATTTATGAACATTTTAGAGTTTTAGGATGCCAAGTCATTATGTTCTAATTTAATAAAAATGAATCTAATAAAATTGTCAAAATTCCTTATCTTTCTTTACTTCAGATCATACTTAAGGGCTAAGAAACCCCAAATTGAAAGAAAATTTGGTGTGTTTTACAATTTTATTTTATCCAGTAATGTAATGTGTCTGTATTGTTCACTTGATTGAGCAGATATTAGAGATTAAATGGTCTTATGATAAATTTTCACCGTGTCTGAGAGTGTTATGCTGAGAGGCACCCCTCTTTGGTTGAAGATGTATCACTCACAAAGTAGTTGAGAAATCTCTGTTGAACATCTATGTGCCAGGCCAAGTGTTTTACAACTACAATTTTATTATCATTGAATACTTAGAATAACATTATAAAGACATGTCATAATCCTTGGCATTTTATGGTTGATGACAGTGAGGCTGAGAATAGTAAAGTTGAGATTTTAGGCTAGATGTTTGATTCAAAGTCTAAGCTTCCCATGTAACACACACCCACCATCACCAAATGAAATGCAGCTAAAAAGGCAGCATTTGGGCTGCATCTTTGGAGGGAACTGAAATGAGAACTTATATAAGTAGAACACCAGGGAAGTCAGCAGTCAATATGAACTGTGTCCTAGTGTGGTGCTTTTCAAATATTATTTTGCAGACGAATCACTTGAGGAAGTTGTTGAGCTGCAGAGTATAATTCAGCAGGCTTGGGCTGGGGGCTGAGATCTTGTCATTCCATCAGCTCCCCAGTGATGCCAATATTGCCAGTCCTGGGACGCACTTTGAATAGTCAGGTGCTAATGAGGAAGGATTGATTCAGTACCATGGACAGTGGAGCAGGTGACATCACTACATCATCTGTCATTTAAGTCAAATCTCTAATGTCTTTTATGGGTAGACTCTTGTAACAGAACACACAGTCAGAATCTTTTTAAAATAGTAATTCTTGGATTGCTATTAGCTACTTGATGATCCTTCCCTTCAATCAGGTATGCATGGCTAGATCCTTTTCTTCATGCAGGAAAATGGGTGTAATCCTACGCAAATGTCCTAATGGTCTTCCCTTAGCCTTGCCACAAATCTTTCCAGAAGAAAAACCTGGGGCTTTACAAGGGAAAAACCTGGGACTTTAGAGCGCCTCCTTTCACATTTCTAAATGATATGCTGCCAGTGCCCCTCAGGCAAAAATAATCTAATCAGGTTTACTATCTAATAAGGAAGTATCTAATACAAAATTTATAGAATATTTAAATAGTAGTATCAAGCTCAACATTATAAGACATCTTTTTGAGATGGGCTAGCACTCTTACTTGCATATTTAATTAACAGAAAAGAAATGAGCAATATCTTTTTGCTGCAAAATCCGCTGAACTATTAGTCAATTGTACATAAAGGGAAAGAAAAAATAAAAAGGATAACAAAGTACTGTTCAAAATCACAGTGGAATAAAAATGACCTTAAATTTTTATTTTAAAATGTATTTCCATTACCTTCTTTCTCCTGTATTCCTTCCATCTATTTTCTTATTGTAAGGATAAAATCTGAAAGATCATTTTCCTTATTAACTTTGTTCTTACCCCCTACTTCGAAAAAGCAGGCATGGCTGCCAGCAGAGAGACTTCAGATTGATAAGACCATCAATCTATTTCACAGCTAGAGCAAAGTTATTCAGATAAAAGGCTAGCAAACAATCTCATTTGTTTTCCATTGAATGTATTTTTTTGTCTGGTTGAGGACCCCTTCTCAGATGTAGGTATTCCAGGGGCTACATTTATGGCAAAAGAAAATGAATATAATCCCACATAAAATTTCTAACAGGCCTTCCTTTAGCCTTGTTATCTGATCTACTTAAGGATACTCATTCTTTTTCATTCCAATGTATGTTTGTAAAATTAATTCATTAAAAATCCTTTGCCATCCATTAGACTTTCATTTATAGTGTCGTATTTTGACTTTTTTTTTCTCAAGTTAATTCTTAATTCCAGAGGAAAAGTCTTATTTTTTGACTATGTTAATAATACTAAAAACAAGTTTGGTGTGAATGTGTGTATGCGTTCAACTAAATATGGGTGAGGATCTACGTGACAGGTAAGAAGACTCTCTGTATATTTTATTTCCTTCAATTTTCACAGCACTGTGAAATAGGCACCTTGTTCCTGCGTAAGGGATGCGAGAAATGAGGTTCAAAGTCCTTCTGTTAGTAGATGGCTGAGTTTGGAATACAGGGAGCTTGTATTACTCTCTTTCTACTATGCACTCTTATAAAATAGGCTTGCTCTAGTGGAAATTTACACATCTCAAGGACACAGCCAAAAAAAAAAATGCATGAAGTGCAGTGCAGCTTGATGTCGAGAAGTAGAAAATAGTTGACTTCCATCCATTATATCAAAAGCGGATATGCAGCTACATTCAAATCCATTACTGGCCTGGCACATTCACTTTTCAGATAGAAAGATACTGGCCATTAGTGAAGATTAAATAATTTACCTGAGACTGCCTTGGGTACTCAATGTCAGGGAAAAATTTATAACTAATATCTTGAGAGTTGCTTGGACTACTGAAGTGCAGATAATACTCTATTTATAGAACATTTATATCTCAGTCTTTTCTAAGACTAATACTAACTATTTTAAAAAAGAAATTTAACCATTTCCCTTTTGGTCATTTTAGTCTATCTTTTTTCCTCTTCTTTTGGTTGAATTAATAAAATCTAAGTTCAGAAACAAGGACTCGTCAATATCTGTGGCCTTAAGAATGTGCTGATTTCTTTTTTCATGGCCACATAAATCCCTTTTTTAGGAAGGCTCAGTCACTCAATAACTAAAATGGCCAGATGACTATTGTAAATGTTTCACCATGTATCTTAGATAGGATGTCGTGTTAAATGATCTCTATGGACTAAGAGCCTATTACTCACTCCTTAGGAAGCGAGTGAGGGTAACAAGGTTGTGTCCATTCTTAGGAACTTTCTAGGAAAATATGGCTTCAGGATGCTTCCTTATAAAATGTAGAGGCAACAGCTAGATGGAAGGCCCACTGGAATCGCACTCTTTTGATGGAGCGCCTTGACAAACACATGTAAGAAAACCTAAAAGAATTGAGCAGGTGGCTGTAGGCTAGAATACGCAGGTGGGGTAAAAATAAAACTACAGATGGTTTATAAAGGTGACTCATTCCCCCCCCCAACTCCTTTAGTTTTCTTTTCTTTCTTTTTAAAGAAACATTTTGATTGTGACATTTCTACTAAAAGTGCCCAATCTCCAAATTCAGGAAGATTGTATCGCAGGAAAGGATTGTATCACATTTCTACATTCTCTCCTTAGTGCCATATCTGATTTCCCAGATTTTTTTTTTAATGTGGAATATTTTTCATGGATCTCTCTCTCTCTTTCTGACGGATACATTTTCTAGCCCCAGAAACCAACTTTTCTTGAAAATAGATCGACAGGTCGATTATACACTGAAATACACAAATACAGTGCATCAGAACACCATACTTGCCTTTTAAGTCCACCACTTAAAACACATGCAGGGGACAGACACACAGGTATGTCACCACCCCAGAGCAGGGGGTGGTCTGCTCTGCACATGTCTGGGAGGTGGTTGGAACATCCTGTAGTCTGAGTTTTACAAGAACTTTACTTACTGAATGGACTTTCATGTATTCAGTCATCACTTCTGTCTCTGCGAAATCAGAGGCATCTATCCTATTTTACTCTCTGAACGTGACGCGGTCTCCACTCACTGGACGTTTGAGGGCAAGGAGGATTAACTTGAACCCTTCGTTGGTTTTGGTGTTTGGAGTTGAATCGAAGCCCTCAAAGATCTAGATGGTTTCTGCACGACGCCCTGGCCACGATCCTTGACCCCTAAACTATTGTCCCGGAGTCCCTTTCCCGGGGACGTGGGCGGGGCGCGGCTAATCCGCGGGGCTCCCCAGAGCGGTGCCCACACAGCCGGCCTTGGCTGCGCTTCTCCGGCCGCTCTGGTTCCGCTCGCGCAGCGCCCGCGCAGCCCGCCAGGGGGACCCCGACCCGCCCGGGCCGCATCCGATTAGAAAGCGTCGGAGGGGCGTGGAGCCCGGGGTCCTGCGGCACCTGCTCCGCGAAAACCCCCAGTCGGCCGGGGCGCCCCCCCAGCTGCGGACGAGCGGCGGGGCCAGGGTCCCCGGCTCCGGAACCCGGGTCCCCCTGTAGCGGCGGGCGGGCCGCGGGTGGGCGTGTCCGTTTCCTGGCGCCGGCCTTCCAGCCGGGAGAAGCGCGCCGGCAAGCAGGCACTTTGTTTCCAATGATGGGTTTTGTCTGCGGGTGATCAGCTTCTGGAAGTGCAACTTTGTGGCCAAGGCGCGGATCGGCCGGTTTGGGGGTCCTGGAGGGGAAGGAGCGGACCCTGTCTGCGTCCTCCAGACGGAGGGGGGCGGCAGGGCCGGGGGAGTTCCCACGGGTCTGGGGCGGCCGCGAGGTTGACGCGGTCCGGGGTCCCTACCGCTCCGCGACGCCCGGGAAGCCCGCCCCGCCCCCGCCCCCAATCCGCCTCATTGGGCGTTTCGGGGCTGGGATCCGTCTGGAGCCCTGCAGAAAACTTTTCCCGTGCTAGCACCCGGTCCCTTTTGTCCTTCTTGGGTGCGGCGGCCGCGACGCCTAAGCTGCGGGTCCCTTGCCCTGCCCGGCTCGCGGCGCCCGGCGCCCTCCGAGGGCAGGAGCGCTCGGGCTCTGCGCGCCCGATGGCGGCGGCCGGCCGCCCGCAGCCCGCGGCGGGCACAGGCGGCCACGCCCCCGCCCCGAGGCCGCCCGCGCCCCCCCGGCGCGGGGATAGGGGCGCCCCCACCCCCTCCGCCCGCCCCCTCGCCTGACTCATCGCCCGCGGTGGCCGCGCCGCGTCGGGATGGGGAGGGAGAGCGCGGCTGCCCGCGGCTGCCGAGATTCCCGCTGACGCCCGGGACCCCGCCGCCTCCCTCGCTCCTCTCGGACGCGCCCGACGTCCCGGCAGCTGCCGGAGTGGGAGCCGGAGTGACGGCGGGAGAGGCGGCCCGACCGCGAGGCCCGGCGCTCCCGACAGGTGAGAGGGGCGGAAACGGCGCCGCCGGGCAGAGGTGGCTGCGCACCCACCGCGGCCGAAACCGGCTCTTCCGCAGCCCCGTCCCCTCCGCTCCGCTTCAGCCTCCGGAGTTAGGGTAAACGCGGAGTCCTGAAGTTTGGGAAATAGACCAAGTCCGCCATCGGTTCCGGACTCCTCGGTCCCCGGGGCGCAGGACAAGCCGCGCGGGGCAGCCTCGGAGAACCGAGTGTGGGAGCGCCTGGCTCCAAGCAACACCCTCCTTTGTCTCGGCTCCAGAGTCAGCATTCTCTGTGAAGACGTCCACAGCGTGAATTCATGGTAGAGCAAAGTGCGGTCGGGGTTTCCTGGAGCAGTGTCTGTGTGTGGTACTATCTGCATAGGCAAAATGGAGGGGCGAAGCAATTATGTGCGAAATTCAGCACTACTCTTCCCTCTATGTAGTCTGTCCTTAAGAGAAAGGACCGAGGGCTTGCAAGATTGCTTCATTAATCATTCTTTTGCCATAATTAATTGTTCAAGCCAACACTTCACATTGTGTAGGCGCAAGCTCTCTGTGTGTATTTACTGCTCTTTGATTTAGAGAAGTGTGTGTATGTGTGTGTGTGTGTATAATAAAAACAATTCATTGTTCAATATCAAGCATTGGTAATGTCAGAGAGAAAAGCAACTGCCTTACATATATGTAATTGACTAATTGGAATCAGTTCCTGTACACCTTAGTCTGGTGGATTTCAAAACTACATAGGATGGACTAAAGTGTCTCAAATGTCTTGTCCTTCCTTCTGAAAACCTTTGAAAGTACTTAAAGACAACTGCATATAAAACATATCAAGAAGCAATAAATATTATTATTTGTCAGAAAGAATATTGAACTCTGTTTTGCAATCAGACCCAGTTGAGAGGCATACTTTCTGTAGTGCTTTATGCATAAAGATTACCAGTATTTGTGAAAGCTGTTTAATTGTCATTTCTTGCATTAGGGAAATACTTCTAAGATGACTTTCAGTTTGTTATTTGGCTACTGATACTAGAGCATATTACTATTTTGTAAAAAGTAGACTACATTTGGAAACTTTTTGAATCTTGTTTTATTTGCCCATTACTGTTTACCCATGTAGGAGCCTCCGATTGTGGTTTCATGCTTTTTAAACAGCTCAAGTGAAGAATAGGAGTCCCTCTGACCAGGAAATAATGCTTCCATTAAGTGGAAACTATAGTTAAATGTTTTAACAATTTAATGTTATTAGATTTTTTTCACTCATAAAAATATATACTGAATGATTTTTCTTTAATGAAGCCCTACTAAACAGCTCATGATTATGAGATAATTTAGCTATAATTTGTAACCCTGGTTATAATTGGCTTTGTATCTAGGCTGGGAAAGCCTTGGGTAAAGAGAGAGAGTTGCTTTGTGGGAAGTCTCTGTGTATAGTTTTCAGACAGCACAGAAAGGCTTCACCTGTTGCTTCAGAGGTAGGTCTAGGTAAATGCTTGTAGTATGCAAAAGACATTCATCATCAGAAGAGATTCTTCAGGAAAGATCCTTGTCAGGAAGGATGGCTGCACTCGTTATTTTAACTTAGAGGAATTTTTAGTGAAGCCTTTGAATGCTCCAAGAGTTAGATTGCTATATTTGGACTTCGTGTAGTTTCGGAATTTTGACAACAGCTCATTGGACAGAGAAAGATAACTACTGACATATAAGGGGAGTGAATCTGAACTGATTGGTTAAATCCTCTCCTTCCCATCATGACTCTTAGCATAATGGAAAAGAAATTCATATTTAGCTTAGGAAGGTAGACAAGAAGAAACATAAAAGCAAATGTCACATTTTACATTTCCTAAACAAAATTAGCAGAAGATAAAAAAAAAATAAGTCATCAGTAATGTACATTACTTATCAAACAGAATGTAGAATTTAAAAGAGGAGGCAATGTAAAAACAAATTTCATATAGTATTATTCTCCCTAAATAGGAGCCAGGATGGGGGAGTCTTTGTTAAACAAAACACATTTTGAAAAAAGAACTTGCGTGGAAACAGAAAAACAAACCTGCAATGAGATGGACCCGTTGTTTTATTAAGGAATATATAATTTGCAGTTTAGTCAAGTGAATCCACTTATTCCTGACCTTAAGATACGTTTTATGTGCTAAGATGTGATATGTGCCCAAGCACTCAGAAAACATGGACGAGCATTTGTTGGGGTGCCATGCAGGCCGATAGACACCCCTTCAGCCTCTCCTATGAGAGCTTATAGGCTGGTGGGGAGGGGACTGGTAAATGTGCCACAGATCACCTAGCAGCTGCGGTGGTCCGTGGGCACCAGGGGACTGGTGCAGCCAGTATGGTGGGTTGCAAAGGGCACTGGATGGGAAGTTGTCATCTCGACGGAGCCACTGATTATGTGGCCTTTCTGGTCCTTGGTGCCCTCATCTGTAAAACAAGGGCTTTCAGCGGATGATCTTTATGTTCTTTCTTTTTAAAATGCTGCATGATGTGTTCTGGCAGAAATAAGGAGAGGGAGAAATGTGTGTGTGGGAGGGTGGTTTGTAGGCTTCTGTTGGAGGAAGACAGGCTCCAGACCTTGCTAGGTACAGGAAAAGGGCAATGGCTATGATAATGGAAGTAAAAGAGATCTGACCCATCACTGATTATCTGAATGGGCAAAACATAATAAAATAATAAATGTCAACTTTTACTTAGTGCTTGATGGTTTTCCATGAATTTTCACAAATAATGGCAATTGATTTCTATAACAACCCTCAGTGAATTAGAGCAGAAAGGTGATGAAACAAGCAGTAATACTGCAAAGCATGTTTGTGCAAATACTGCCTTTCTGCAAAATTTGTAGAGATAGGAGAAAGCTGAAGCATGATTTGGAAACCTAAGTAAAGGAGGGAGAGAGAGAGAGAGAGAGAGAGAGAGAGAGAGAGAGAGAGAGAACACCTCAGATTTTGAGGTTGAATTTCTGAGTGAAAATATAGGTTACCTCCTGAATCTTGAATTCTGATGACCGATGTTTGTTCTGATTGCTCCTGTTCTGTTCTTTCTCCCCACCCACTTCCTTCCCCTTCCCCAGCAGGAAGCAGGAATTCTGGGGATTTGAAGATTGCATAGTCATTGATAAGACTCTTACAAGAGCTTTGAGTGTGACTGGAAAAGGAAATATCTACTTCTCATATAAAGGTGAGGATTCTGGGGCCATTGCGTTATTAATTGATGGAATGTGTTCTAGTAGCAAGTTGTGCTTTGGAAACTTTGTCACCAGAAATGAAATTACATGGAAGGCGCAGGAGTGTATCAAGGTGTGCAGATGTGGATCTTTACCTTCCTTCCTGCAGCTCCCTCTTCACTCCACCCTGAGCAGTAAGAGCACCAAGGGTAGAGAAGAAGTCGCCCGACCACCACCCCACCGTGTGTTCCTGTGGAAGAGAGTTACTTAGGATTCATTTGATTGCATATGTGAAGAATCTACATTTAAGTGGGTTAAGCAAAAAAGGATTTATTGGCTCATGTGACTGGTCGTCCAAAGGTGGGACTTGCACCAGTCACAGCTGGAACCCAGAGACTCACACCACTTTGTCAGGGTTCCTTCTCTGTGCCCCCGTTTCTCAGCTGCACCTCTCTGCAGCTCAGCTTTATGCTTGAAGCCCTCTTTTTGTGTACGGAGAAAGGTGACTGTGGGTAGTTCTAAGCCTACATTCCCAGGCTTTTGATACATGAGAAAGAGAGGTCCCATCCCTTCCAGGTCCCATTTATTTCTTTATTATTTTTAATTTTAATTTTTTAGAAACAGGATCAGGTCTCACTCTGTCACCCAGGCTAGAGTGCAGTGGTGCAATCATAGCTCACTGCAGTCTCCAACTCCTGGGCTCGAGTGCTCCTTCTGCCTCGGCCTCCCAAAGTGCTGGGATTATAGGCAAGAGCCGCTGTACCTGGCCTCAGGTCTCATTTATATAAATCTTCTTGAAGGGCTCTGATTGGTCCTGCTCAGTGTCAGTGTCACTAAATCTAGCAGAGTGCCCCTTTGATTGTCTTGGTGCCCAGCTCTGTGTGGATGTGGCAGTGGGATAAGGAAAAGGCTGGTAGGGCACCGTGATGGGCAGTTCTGTCACATAGAGGTGTGTTTCTCCCAAGCGAATGATGATGCCAATCAAAAACAGCATGTCCAGAATAATTGCTCCCTCCTTTTTTGGGATAGCCCTTGTACAATGGTGTGGAGTCTGCACATGGATACAGCTCAAGTGCCTAAGGCCATGCAAATTCTAGAAGTGGGACCTGCCTATCAACCAAGGTGAACCCCAGTGATGACATCCCTTCACGTCCAAACTTTGCCAAAAGGAGTATGGTTTCTGGAATATTATTGAATGAAGAACCCACTATTTATCCATATGTGTGTACTTTTAGCAAATATCCCTGTGCCTTATTTTCAGCCCAGGGATTTCATTTCAAAAACCTTGCTCATCTGGTGATCATGAGATTAGAGACCTTCTTTTTCACTTTGGCCATTATAGAGTCAGTGAAAGTTTGAACAGGGAAGTGAAGTGATGAAGACATAACTATTATTTATGCAATTCTCTGGGTTTGTTGGAGATTGGCAGAGGGGAGCAGCAGGCATAAGTTAGGGTTCTCAATTAGGAGGGATAAGATGATAAGTCTCCAATTAGAGTATTGGCAGCAAGAATGTGTGAGCAATAATATAAAATCTAGTGAGGTTATATGTCAAAGTGAAGGAGCATCTGTGTTGACAGAAGAATTTGTGAAATGAAATGGATCAGAAGGGATCAGATAAGGAAGACAGCCTGGGCCCACAGGTAAAATGGCTGTGCATGGTTGACAGGGTGACAGTAGCTGGATTGAGTAGAAAGGAGTCCTAGGGGCATGTGTGGAACTGACGTTTATTGAGGATCTACTTAGTATGACAGGTCCATATTGCATGTTTTAATTCATTATATATTTAAACCTCATAACAGAACTCTAAGAGAAGAAAACTGAAAGTTATGGAGGCAAATAACTTATTTAAGATTATGAGGTCCTTGGCCGAGCTCAGTGTCTCATACCTATAATCCTACCACTCTGGGAGGCCAAGGTGGAAGAATCGCTTGAGTTCAGGAATTCAAGACCAGCCTGAGGAAGAGTAAGACTCCATCACTACTAAAGATAGAAAAATTAGCCAGGCTTGGTGATGTGCACCTGTAGTCCAACCTACTTGGGAGGCTGAGGTAGGAGGATCATTTGAGCCTGCAAGTATGAGGTTGCTGTGAGCTAGGCTGATGTCACAGCACTCTAGCATGGGCAACAGAGCAAGACTCTGTGTGAAAAGAAAAGAAAAGGAAAGAAAAGAAAAGATTATGAGGTCCTTAAGTGGTAGAGCTATAATTGAAGCACAAGATCTCAAGCCCAAGGTCAGAATCCACCATATCAGGCCAAACTGAAGGACAGGTGGGCAGATCAATAGAACTGGTGAATTGTTGATCTGAGAACAGGAACTCTACCATCTGCCCTGGCTTTAAATATCCTTCCTGGAGTAAGTCAATAAGACTATGGAATGGGCCACTTCTCAGAGGGAGACAGGATTCTATCGGTTGTGAGGCACTATCAGGGAAAGATGAGCTAACATTTGCAGAGTGCCTGCCTTGTGCCTTAGGAACATAATCTCACTAAGGCTTCATTAGAGTCCTGGAAGGGTAAATAGTATGCCTCCATTTTTCTGAGCCAGGCAAGGGAGGCTCAGAGAGGTTAAATTACTTGCCTGAGCTCCTAGAGCCTTCATTGGAAGGTGAAGGAGCTGGCTTGGAACCCACATCTAGCTGAATCCAGAGCTCAACCCAACCTGGATCTTCAGGGAGTCACCTGGGTTCTAACAGGACAGGGTCAATTTCAAGTCTGAGTGACGGGAGTGGGGAAGTGAGCAGGGGCGTGTGGCTGTGAAGGAAGACAGTAAGCTCACTGTTAGACATCTGAGTGGAAGATAAGGGCAGGCCATCTGAAGAGAGTTGTCTAGTAGGATTATAGCCGGCTTTGGCAGAAAATTTAGTAATCTAGTAGCCCCCCCCCCACATTCAGTGCAGGATCTCTGTCATTGCTGGGATAGATACGTCAGCAAGGCAGATGTTTGGAGGGCTTAATTTTATTCACTGATTTCAGTTAAGGAGAAGGGACCTCTGCCAGCTGCCACAGCCTGAATTTACCTTTATATATACAGGTACTCTGCCCTGAAATATGAAAAATAAGAAATAGATCAATATAGGGAGGAAGAGAGAGAGTGCACAAGCGCATGCTGAATGTAGTTGGTTTGTGGAACACTCTCTGGCTATAAAGGTCTATTCTTGAAGATGCTTTAAATGAAACAGTTACTAATGGAATGTGAGTGACCTCATATCCTTCCCTGACAAATTCAAGGTCAAATTTATATCTGCTTACATATATGACTAGATGTATATGCAATAGACTGTGTATATATGTGTGCTTGGAAGAGGAATGAGAAAATATATGAAAATAGACATATTTGTGAGAATCTCATGTCTATTTGGGGAGGTAAAATAACCATGTATAACACTTTTAAAACACCACAGTAGAATAACATGATTTCAGAGTTGGAAGGTTCTTTTAGAGAGTAATCAAGATGATAGTATTAGCTAGTGTTATGAAATCCAGACCTAACAGTAGCAGTTGAACATAAATGTTATGGAGACTAACAGGAATAGAACCATCTAAAATGCCTAAGGCCAACTGGAGAGGCTTCCAAGGAGGAGGTGAGTTCTCGTGAATACGTACGGGCAGAGAGGAGAGAGGGCATTCCAGGTAGAACCAAGAACTTATCAATGCCTTCCAGCCAGAGACCACCAGGAACTTCACCTGTAGTTGAACAAGTTGCCTTTGCTACTCATTACAGTGAGGGAGAACGAACACTACAGGGAAACATGAGGTGTCTCAGTAAGGGAGTGCTAGCAATGAGTTATAGGATTTGGGCTTGTGTTAGGTGATTTGGGAGAGGGTTTAAAGAAGCAGGGCTTTGCTCTGGATTGAAGTAGGGGCAATCCTAAGATCTTGTTTTTTTATGTTAATAAATATTATCTAGAAGGAGATAAGACAAGGGAGGCTAATGCTATGGTTGATAAAGAGGCCTTATTTACTCATATTAGCCAGACTTGGGGGATGTTTGGTCATTTTGGGGGGTCAATGTTCATGCTTTTGTTCCCATTATATTATGAGATTCTTGAGGGTAGGGATCAGGTCTCCTAATAATAGAGCCAGATGTAAACACATGGTGGTAATACATTGAAATAAAGCTGGTAGAGATATGAAAAAAATATTAGAGATTCACGAAACAAAAGTACTGCTGAGAAGGAGCAGGCTCTTTTGCAAACAGAGAGTGAATCACAGAGGTGTTGATAGATTAGCAGCTGCTGGGGAGAAAAGAAAATATTTTCCTTGTAAGAATCAGCATCTTTGGGCTTACATTTAGGGTGAATCTGAAGAATTTCAATACTCTCTCTAAGCTGACGTTGGCATAGGAGGGACACAAATTTTGGCTTCCGTGGCACAGTGAGTCAGCTGGCTCAGCGAACATACATGTGGGAGAATTTGTAATACAATAGAGTTACTTAGCATTTCTGCAGAGGTTATTATTTCTAATCATGAAGCAATACATGCTCCCAATACAAACTTTGGAAGTACATTAAGTATAAAAAGTCAGGGAGAAAATTTGCCTATAATCCTATAACCCAAAGGTGCCCCGTAACATTTTGGCATGGTCTTCTTCTTTATTTATAATAATTTTTTTCACATAGTTAATAACATATTGCAACCTTATCTATTTACTTAACTTTATGTCCTAAATATTTTCCAGCTTCTAGGAAAGCTTCATTAATGTCTGTATAATATTGGATTACATGGATATTACGTAATAAACTACATAGATAATTTATTAACTATTCCCTTAATATTAGAACTTTAGGAAATTTCCAAATATTTGGTATCATAAATGGCACTTTGATTTTTGTTCAAATTACAGATTACTTTTTAATAGCGGTTACAAATTTATTTGTGTTCCATTTTATATATTTGTATCAGGTTAATTCTTAAGCAAGATTCATGGAAGGGTAATTCCTTGTTAAAAGGGTATAAGCATTTTAAGGTTCTTGGTATGTAGTGACAAACTGATTTTCGCAAAAAGTGAAGTTGTAACTGACGGTGCATGGAACTACCCTCACTGTGCCCTCACTAGCTATTTTTTTATTTTTAAATAAGAAAAGCTCCCATTTCAAAGTGAAGAATAGTTTATGCTTACTGTTGATCTTGTTCCTTTATTACCAAAAACTCTCTTCTAGAATGTAGACAGGTAAAATATTGTGGCAAGCCATTCACTCCATTGAAAAAGTTTATTTACAAGAGTTCCTGAGTATGCAGGTTGGGGCCCATTTACAGAGAGAAAATTAGCTTGTGAATGATTTTTTTGAAAGCCAATGTTATCCTGTGAGAGGACTCTTCAGACCCTAGTGTGGAACAACCTGCAATTGCAGTGGTGCAGGGAGAGAGCCCCACTTTGCAGAGCTAGCCTTCTGACAACCGGCGCCCCCCCCCCCCCAGCCTCGGAGATCAGGTCCCAGTGGTCATGGAAGGTTCTAACTATAGCTGGCGTTGTGCTCAGGTTGTGCTCAGCTGGCCTTGTGCACAGGCGAGGGCAGGCCTGCACCTGTTCTTTCCATGGCTGTGTCCTCAGCAGGGGACCCAGGACCAGGTTGTGCTGGGAGGTAGGATGTGAAAATGCTTGAGATTTTCTCCCTCGAGAACCTCTGCTCTATTATCACTGATTCCCCAGAATCAAACAAAGGTCCTGAATTTCGGACCTTTTGATTTTTACTGTCTTTTCCAAAGAAAAGCCAACCACATCATAGTATCTTGTTGTCATAGTGATGACCTTTGACTTATTCCAGAAGAAGGAAAAATTTGGATCTTCCTTAAACCACCTTAGGGTTTTTTGTTGTCCAAAAACACTGCTGGAGACTACAAGAGAACTCTTGAACTTACTGTAACAGTCAATTTGAGGTGGTTTCTGAGTGCCAATTTCAGTTTTTCCACAACTACTATTTTTCCACAAAAATAATTCATAACTAAAATAAAAAAGAGTTTGGTTTGCTTCTAAAAGTTGAAGGAGAATATTATTATATTGTTGTAACTCCATTCTTTATTATGAATATCAGTCGATAATTGAGAACGAAATTATTTTCATTCATTGGTTCAACAAGTAATTATGTAGGGAGATTTATTCAGTAGTTACTGTTCAATTACACTTGTGACTCATTTTGTCAAATGTGACACATGTCTTCTTACACAACGGTAATGCAGAACACTGTGTAGAAAGCATGACCTATGCATTTACTATTTGCTTATGGATAAGGCGTGTCAAAGTTCTCATACATATAAAAGTAAACTCGGCTCGGTAGCAAATTTATTAATTAATGAGGAACTCAATATATCTTATGGGCTGGTAGCTGAGGATTGGATAGGGATCAAAACAAAGGCTGTGGTGGAGCTCACATTGTAGGTGGAACAGACAGATGGTAAATGCACAAGCAAGGCAATTTCAGGCAGTAGAAGTGCTGAAAGAGGTCAAGGAATCTGATGTTGCAGAGAGTGCTCTGGCTTTCTTACATCAGATGGTCAGGGAAGACCTCTCTATAGTGGAGGCATTTGAGCTGAGACTTGCAAGATAATGAGGAGGTAGCCTCGGACATTTGGGAAAGAGGGGAGTAGGGTAGGTTTTATTCCTAGTGCTCTAGAAGGCTATTAGAAGGTTGTTCTTTTGAAGCATGATGTTAGAGGTCATTTATTAAAAATAGGAGCTGAGGTTAAGAATGCAAAGTAGTATTTCATGGTAATGATGACACTGGCCTTGGGAGCAAAAACAGCAATCATGGTAGAGGCTCCCTGTGTAGTTATGCTCAAGATACGCCATATGTCACCATGTGCCAAAGACATTCCATATATAGTGTGTCCCCCTTCAAAGGGGTCTTAATATAAATACAATATATAAATATAGTTAGTAAGTAAATAAAGATAAATCTCAGTGGAATATGCATAGCTTAGTAAGTCCACCACAGAGTTTTTTGTTATGTGAAGCTTATATTTTTGAACTGTGCCTAGCATAGTGACTTGTCCATTGTATGCATTTAGTAAATATTGCTGAATTAATTATATCAAACATTCTATATTGTGAGAAAAAAATTATCCTAGGATATAAAATCACATTTAAGACACAGTAATTTTAATGAAAAGACCAACCATTTCTTTGACCAAACTGAGATGTTAACCATACTTTAAATAGCAGTTTTAAAGTTGTATTCCAAATGTTAAAAACTGAATTATTAAAAATAAAAAAATAGGTGTAATCATCTTCCCTGCATACAATTCTTTCTCCTAGTATAGGTAGAAATCTCTGGAAAGTCCACAGTTTAGATAAAGATTTCCATGGCATCACTTGGTCTTAGCACACCTTATTTGACATGTGGAAATTCCTTATTTATTTTGTGAGTTTCCCAATTCTTGAACTAATCTCTATTCAGAACTTTTCTGCCAACACCGCATAGTTGGTTATAAGACAATAATAGCATATAATTTTAGTGATGCTTGCTAATGAATATTTAGCTCAGTGTGTTCCAGGAGTTATATTCAAAACATATTTATTAAATCATCAGACATTATCAAAAGCAAGTGCCAGGGCATAACAGGCTTCTCTCAAGGAACTCTCAGGCTAGAAAACCATCGGGTACTTAGAGCAAGGGGAAGAGTTTTGAAATAATATGATACATGGCATTCTCTGAGTATAATGTTGGGGAGAGGGACAGTAGCGGGTCAAATCACGAATTATTTCACAAATGCCTTAAATTTGGAATTTAGTTAAGTGATTTTAACAGATTACAAAAGCGAAGACAAAGATGAAAAAAGCAGCACTTGCCATTCATCTCTAGGCAACAGGGCCACCTGCGTCCTGATTCTCATTTCTACACAAACCGCCCAGGGCATTCCCTGTTCTCCTGCCCCACCTGCCAGAGGCTCATCTGCTCATTTGTCAGGAGAAGAGCTAACAGGCCCCCGGGACGCATCTGTACCTGCAGCCCCATGAACCCGGCCCTCCCTTCTTCAGCCTCCTGCACGTGGGACTGCACCTGGGCTCCTTTGCCTTGGGGTACAGTCCCCTCAGCTGCTTCCACCCTGCCCTGCCCTTCACACACTCCTGCAGCTTTGGATTGGGAGAGTCTCAATCCTGCAGCTTTCTTGGTTTCCAGTAGAGCATCACTCACTTATTCCTTTAATAAATATTTTCTGTGTACTTAACATGTACTATTTTGGGCACTGGAAATGTAACAGGAAACAAAACAAAATTTCTGCCTTTATGAACCTTATATTCCAGATGGAGGAGACAGATAGGACACATGTAATTTGTTGCAGTGAATAATAAGAAAAGTAAAGCAGGGCCCAGGGACTGGGAGCAATTAGGATGTGGGCAGTGTAACATGGTCAAGGAAGGCCCCTCTGAGAGTCTGACATTTGAGCAGAGACCAGAATGAAGTGAGGGGAGAAGCCATTGGAATGGGGAGGGGTGTGCCAGGTGGTGGTATAGGAGGTACAAATGGCCTGAGAGGCAGCGTGTGAGATGGGAGTGGGCTTGGAATGTGTGAGTGGCATAGAGGCCAGTGTGATTAGAGCAAAGTGGGGCTCCTAGAGGGCCTTGGGACCACGAGGAAATTTTGGATTTACTCTGAGTAACGTAGGAAGCACCTGCTGGAACCCTAACCTATGGTGTGGGCTTTGCTGGGCCCCGTCCTCACGGTCATTACTGGTTTCAGAAGGAAATATGCAGTGTGTGGAAGCCCAGGTGTCTGTATCTGTCTGATGGGCCTGAACTCTCATTCAATGTTCTTAGAAATCATATGGTCAAATGGAAGTGGCATGGATATAAAGACCTTGAAGAAAGAATAGCCCAGAGAATTGCAAAGCCAGGTGAGAGATGTTTTACTTTGGATGTGTCTTAGTTTGTTTTGTGTTGCTATAACAGAACACCACAGACTGGGTAATTCATAAAGAACAGAAATTTGTTTCTCACAGTTCTGGAGGCTGGGAAGTCCAATATCAAGATGTTGGCATCTGGTGAGGGCCTTCTTATTGCATCATCCCATGGTGCAAGGTGGAAGAGCAAAGCATGTGGGCATGAGAGAATTAGGGGGCAGAACTCATCCTTGTTATGAAGAACCCGTTCCTGCAATAACTAACCCACTACTGTGATAGCAGCATTCATCCATCCATGAGAGCAGAGCCCTAATCACCTCTTAAAGGCACCACCTCCCAACACTGTTGCATTGAAGATCAAGTTTTCAACATATGAACCTAGGGGAACACATTCAAACCATAGCAGGTGTGAACAAAATTTTGTTGTGCATTAAAAATGGGGTGAATTCACAGAATCAGAGTATGAGAGCTGTGAAGAGCATTTTTTAGACAACAGTGAAAACTCTGAGATCCAGAGTGACAGTTCACTTTTCTGAAGTCCACTTACTAAGTGAGGTGCAGATACAGGATTAAAATCCAGGCCCTTTTCCTTCCAGTCATGGTCCTTGAGTAACGTGGGTGACACATGTATGTTAAGGAAAAGAAGAGCTGTGAGATTTGAACTGGAATTAGCCACCTGATAAGAGCCAGAGCTGTCTGGGTTGGACACTTGGAGCATGCTCAGAAAGCTTCCTTAGAAGCAGCATTCATTTGGTCAGTTGACATTTATGTAGACCTACTATGTTCCCGGCACTAAGTGTGTGTGATCCTGGAGAAAGACTGTGAACAGAGGGGCAAGGAACCTCTAATCTGTTAGCAAGAGCATAAATAACACTGGTAACCATCAATAACCACATGATACATTTGATTAGTGCCACAAAGATGACTAGAGGATGCTTCCCCAGGAAGTATCTGCTAAGATGGGACCAGAGACCAGAGCAGCTAGTCTGGAGAAGGTAAATGTCAGAGAAGAAATGCCATGAGGAAAGGCTGAGGAAGGAAGGACTTGGTGTTTTTGAGGAACAGAAAGAAAGGCGTGTTACTGGATCATAAAGAGCAGGGGAAGGAGAGAGGTTATTGTCTGGGGAAGGGCCCATTCATGTAGTGCCGTGATGGCGACAGTAACATTTGATACTGGATCCTAAGAGCAACATAAGGCTAGTGAAAAAGAGGAATGACATAAACTGGTTTATGGTTAGCGCCACCGTGGCAGTTTTGTGGTGAGGGGGTGGGGAGGTGAGAACGTGTGAAGGAAGAGATAGCAGGGCCTTGGGTTGGCGGTGGCAGTGGTGCTGGAGCCGAGTGGACAGAGTAGGCAGAGGTTTTGCAGACAGCATCAGTGGACATTGGTAACTGCAAGCCCACGGGAAAATTGTGGTCCAGAAGACAACAAGATTTGGGCATGAACAAGTAGATGGGTGGTGGTAGCATTTGCATAGATGAGGAAGCCTTTTGGTAAGTTCAGATCATGAGTTCAGTTTGGGACACATTAAATTTGAGATGCCCATGAGGCATCATAGGGGGGAAGAAGACATTTGGACAGATGGGTGTGGAGCACAGATGAGAAGTTTGGAATGGAGACATAAATTGGAGACTCATTAGTATGTAGTTGGCAATAAAGCCACAGAGTGAAAAGAGATTGAGCAAAGTAGGGGGCTTAGGAGCAAGCTTTGGGAACTCCTGCATTTCAGTGGGGTGGGAGAGCATACGAAATAGCAGCCCTAGAAGTAGGAAAAAAGCTGGGGTGTGATGTCGCTGATGATGTTAGCGATAAAGTTCTGTTTGCACATGGTCCTTACTGAGCCCTTTCTGAAGACTCGGGTTCAATTTCTTTTTCCAATTTAATCTACCAGTGTAGCCCTTATGTAGCATAGCTTTTAAACTTTTGGGTGAAATGGCTTAGAAGTTACTGAAAATCTTTGTCTTGAAATTTCATGTCATAGTTGTTGATGCTGTTAGAACAGAACGAGTCATACATTCACAATAAAATAATGATAGAATAGCACATCTGAAGGTCAACTTCATGATCATGCCTATGACTAATCTATTCCTACTATCAACTTCACTGCTGCCTTTCTGTTTAGTAGGTCTTTATACTTTTTAAAGCATTTGCAGGTTTACTACGAGGTCATATATTATTTTTATGATAGATGTTTTAAAAAACACAAGTGGAAGTTTAAGCTATTCTAAGTAGAGCATTTATTTGCCAGGGCACTATAAAGAGAGTATATAATTTAAAAGACGAGTGCTTGAACAGCTGGCAGAAGACTCTGAGGATTACCCTGGCTTTTATTATGAATGCATTTTAGCTCATTAAAATTGAAGAGAAAAGAAACCTGCTATTGGAGGTTGCATTTAGCCTGTCTATTTGGGAGCTTAGCTTAGCCCATTCTGTACTGATGGTGGACCCTGAGGGAGCCTCATATCCTTGCTCTTATTTTCCTACAGGGAAAGACACGGTGGAGAGTCACCAGCAGTCCATGAAACGAATGCAGAAAAACTGAAAATCAGCCTTGCGTGAGTGTTGTCAAATTAGAGGTAATTAAGTACATTTATTTTACATTTTCTCTATTCTTCTAATATAGTGTTTTCATTTTTAACCCTTTGAACTCGGATGTCGAGTGTGACTCGACACGGTTAGCAAAAATTATAGAGATTAAAATTACTCTTTGAATGTATCAATAATATGAAATATAAAAAAAATCCAAATAAATAAGTTTGTATGAAAAGAAACTCCAGTTTTTTATTCTACTGCTGTGCTTTGTAAAATCTGGGGTATTTAAAAAATTAAATCCCGAGTAGAATAAAGGAATCGAGAAAAAGCAAGCAAATGCAAAGGGTTAAATATTTTTATAATAAAAATTAAGATTCAGAAATAATTTATAAAATGAAGTTATCATAGCACTTAATTGTGGTTTCTATGTGCATAGTACTCTCTTAAATTATGATTTTTTAAAAGTATAAAATGAGAACTCTCCTGGGTTTTGAATCCTTTGGGAGTTAGCACAGGGCTGCTCACTAAGGTCTCCTGTTCAGTAAGAAGCCTTCAGTCAGTCCTTTGGCTCCTTTCTCTTCTTACCTGAATGCTTAGAGGGGGAACTTGTTAGTGGTCTTATCTGTCCTGGTATAAAAGTCCATCAGTAACGGAAGACCTTCATCGGTAATGACTCGTAAAAAGCTATGCCAAATACTGCTTGCTGTATTTGATGATCTTGCCTGATCTCTTGCTTGCCCCCAACCAAAAAGAAAAAAAATTTTCCCCAAATCTGTGCCTTTGAGTGAACTTTTCTGAAGATGACCCTTGAGGAGGTGACTGGGGCTATTTTCCTGTTCAGAGAAGACTTTTATAAGTATTTGTAGAAGTTGACTTCCCCTTGGACATGTATGTGAAGTGAGAAGTAGAGTGAAGTACAACTACCGGCCTTGGGTTACTGTGCTGGAGACTCTACTAACCTTTTTCCAAGTACAGTGTTCTGAGGATGTCAGCCATCTTCTTGTGGCAACTGGGGCATTGAGGACAGACCCACAGTTGCCTTGTATCAGGGCAGACAGACGTGATGGAATAATACCACACCTGGACAAGGGGACACCGTTTTAATTTTTTCTGTTGAGATGCACATATAAAAAGTTTATGGAAAGAAAAGTGAAAAATTTAAGTATAGGGGGACCTGAAAGATTTATTTGGTTTTTATCTTTTAATTCCATAGTTTATCTAGTATGACTTGAGAAATTGCTAACTGACCTTAACATTTGAAAGGCTGGCTAACTGACCTGCCCGGAGCTCGTCTGAAGGGGACCCCACTCTAATATGTTGCGTCCTCTTCCATTCCCTCCGGAACCCACTGCCGTCTGCTACCTTGCTCAAGTAGCTCTCCTTCAAAAATATGTTTGAAAATATATAGTCAACTTTGATTAACTGGGCTATTTATGATTCAAGTGAGATTTTGTTTGGAAAAAAAGAATCCTATTGCCAGGGATAATTAAAAAATCACGAGAGAATTTGAGCATGACCACCTATGAGTTATGAGACCTTGGGCAAGTTACTTCCCCTCACTGAGCCGCAGTTTAGTGTGGGACAGCAAGACCTCCTTAGAAGGGTGGGGGGTTATGAAAGGTCATGTAAGGAAATGATCCGGCACAGTGCACAGCGCAAAGTGGACACTGCCCAGTCTTGGTCCCTTCCCTCCCCTTCCCTTCCGGCTCCCACTTGCCCCTCCATTCTCTCCCACCTGGATGCACCTGTTCTGCACACAGCCGTTTGCTCTGCCTGGCTGGGAAATCCTTACTGGGGGAGGCTCTTTTCATTATTCTAGATTCACCTTGAATTCAAGCATCTCTTCTGGGAAGTCTTTCCCTGTCTCTCCTGGGAGACTTGGTTGCACCTTCCAGCACTTCCAGTGTGCTTTGCTCACGCCAGCAGTTAAGCCTGTATGCAGTGACAGTGACTGGTCTACCTTCTGTCTCTAGCCCAGACCCACGTGTAGAATAGAAGTAATAGAAATGGACCTAACATCTTCCTTAGGACAACAAAAAGGGTTGAATGGAAAGTGGAAAGTGAATGATTTTCTTTTTCTTTTAGTGATGGTACCACTAGCAATGTTGTCCCAAAATAGAGCCTGTATCAGCTCTATTGATGTAGAACTCTGTGCTGACTTTTTGAAGATCAGTGGATGGGTCCAGAAGAAAGACTGCAGCCCCACAAAATGTAGCCCTCTTCCCCTTGCCTGCAAGAACTTCTCTCCTCGTCTTCCTGGGGCAGAGAGACGGTAGCTGCACGAGGCAGGAACATTTCTGCTATTGTTAAGTCATTCGTCTGTGGCCAGGATCCTCAAGGCACCTGCTCTGACCCCCTGGTGACACTATACCAGGAAGCAAACCACTTCACCTGTGGAATTGTGTGAGGTCCCAAAGCCAGGTGTGATGTTTTATTGTGTTTATGACTCCTCCTATATGGCCCCCATCTATTTGCTCAGGGATTATTGAATTTGTTGAATTAAATTGAATTAGCTCCAAGGGATTCTAATTAGGTGCTTGCAGCATCAGTCTGGCTGGTTTCAGCTCAACTGAGGAACAAGTCACATGAAACAAAGGGCATTAACTAGTTCAGAGGAAGAGCCAGCCTAGGCTTAGAATTTTTCTCTTGCCAATGGCTGGGAAGTCAGAAATGCCATCCTGAAGAGAATGAGACACTGTGAGGTGAGGAGTATTCAATGAGAGTAGATAATCCAGTCCCTTTCTTGACCTTATTCATTTAGATGTTTTGAAACATTTATGGAGTCATCTTAATAAACTTGAAGGTTGAGCATTTGAATGCCTGGAGGTGGCAAATAATCTGGTTCCTGTAGCCATCGTAACTCAGCTGTGTATACAGATAATTGCTTTCTGGGTCTCTGAAAATACTGATCAATAAATTATGAGCTGTCATGCTTAGAATCCAATAAGTCTCTTCAGTTTTCTTTCAATTTTTAGTGTTTTAGTAAATCATATTTAGTTGGCATAGAGATAAAAATAAATATCAAGAAGTGGTGAAAACTGTCTTCATTATGAGTATAAAGGATTATTTTTCCCTTTTAAAATTTTGGAATAATTCCGATGAGTATTAAATTAACTGAAGAATTCCAACAAGTATGAAAATTTTGAGTTTTAAAACTCAAAAGTCTGTGGGAATAATTTATTTAAATAATGAGAAAAGAAAAAATAACTGCCTCAGTATTTTCTTAACAGTTTAAGTTGTTTCTAATCAGTAATTTATACAAAATAAACTTATTCTTTATAAATGCTTCTGCTAAAGTTTATTTTAAGCATTTGTCATGTTACTGAAGTTTTTGTAAGCATACCTCTGTAAAGGCTGAATGATGTTCTGTTACCGGTGTTTTTTAATTACTGTTTTTAATTAATAAAAGAGGAAATGTTAACTCTTGTAACACTTAGAACTTTCCTATGTAATTTCCTTGATTCAGAAAGGAATAGCATGTTTCCCAGATGTGTCAGATATTTTAGTATTTTCTATGAAACTTAACCTTTGAAGGTGATGATCAAATCACACTGCAGTGAACTGGTCAATGGACAGGTAACTCTCCTATAAAATTTTCTGATGGAGTATTTTCCCTTTTTTAGAAGTTTGAGAGTGTTAATTTGGGATTGCTTGTCTTCTAATACAGAAGAGTTTACATTTGGAGTACATTTGTTTATTGTCTTTTTGCAAAAGGATTTATCTCTCTCCTAGCATGTCATCTAGTAGCAGAGAGAAACACATGACCAGCTGGTCATTTTTAACACAGTATTTGGGATATATATATGGAAGAAAGTAGTCAGAAAAAAGCCGCCTTTATCTTTTAATAGAAAGGGGATTTGTTTTGTTAACATTATGCCCCATGTGTGCATTTGAGGCATTATTGGTTATGGAGATCACATAATAAAAAATGCTTAATTTCTTAGCATGTGGAACCACTGTGAGGAACTAAAGGGCTCTCCACTGGGGACCCTTGGCCCTGGAGGTGAGTGACAGCAGGGTATGATGTCAGGGCCCTGGGAGACTGATTGCCACCTGGGTGGTGGCTTTTTATGATTATTTTTATAATCTGTTTATTCTTCCAGTGATCTAAGAGAGTTCATTTAAATTCTAAACAGAGTTTATTGTTGGGGTTCTGTCAAGCCATTTCTTTTTTTGCCTTGGTTAAATAAACCAGATGTTTTATTTTGCCAATTCAGAATTCTTTGCAATAAGTACTTTTATTTTTTTTTTTTTTTTTTTTTTTTTTTTTATTTAAGCAAAGACCTCACTGGCATCAATAAGTACTTTTAAATCGAGATAGAGGTAGATCACTTACCCTGGTCAAATGTTCACTGTGAAAATAAGTTTGTGATCACTTTGTAGAGGAGGCTGTTTTAACAGGATTGCTCCCATTCTTCTAGTTCTTCCCTCTTTACCCAAATCCCCAAAGCAAAACGTCCTTAATTAGAAGCTCATTGTCTATAGAAAAAATTAATTTTCTTTGCTTTTCTATAATTTTAAAATTACATTATAGTCTGCTTGGAAAAAAAGAGGTTTATGGCTCTGTAAGCTGTAATCTTTCATGCCGTTTTTCTTTTTGAAAACCTCCTCTAAGAGGCTGAGCATTAAACCAGCTCATAATGCTATGTAATCTCACATTATTATAAATAAACCACAGGAATAATTTTCAGATGAGCTTTTAGGGTTTACCTTTTGCCCCTTGGCCTGGCCTTGAAATGCAAAATGAACAGCTGAGAAAATTATCTTTCAGTTGAGGAAGAAAATCCCATTAAGTTGTTTTTATAATTGTAAGCTCTTAAACTTAAATTTTCTGTAATTTTCCTCTGTTCTTTATTTCACTGGTGTGTATGTGTCTAGTTGTGTATGTGGGTTTATAAGACAAGTAACATTCACTTTGGGGGCAAAATAATCTATAGTATTGAAAGCGCTTTTTGGTTTTCATTCTCTGAGATAATCCCAGCCCCATACCTGAACGGTAAATGATCTCTAATATAAATCCAGGAGCTTGAATGGGGGCCAGTGT